GCCCAAAGCCACCGCCTGCCGTCTCCGACCTCACCCAGCGCCGCCCCCACATCGCCAGTTCCAGCCACCCATTGCCGATCACCGGACGCCGGTCGTACACCACCCGCTGCCAATCCTCGTCCGTTGCCCAACCACACTGTTACACACCAGACCTCCGGTTCCCTCGAAGATCCCGTCGTCGTCCACATACAATGCAATCACTACCGCCGCCGGATATCCACTCAGCTACAGTGGGTCTCGCCGAAAAATAACAGACGCCATGGAAAATTTCGTCGAGAACGCCACTGCTATCGAGAAAACTCTAGCCGGTGCTTAGAACGCCCCACCTTCTAGAGAACCCTCGCCGATAACTCGTTGCCGTCAGCCACCGCTTTATAGTGACGATGTTATGAAGCGGATGAAGGCGGCGATGCGACGAGATGGCGACGGCGGTCCGGCGGCGGCTGCGTGTTGTGTGTGAATCGATGCTGTCGGTGTGCTGAAGGGGATGGACGGTCGGAAAGAAAAAATGTTCATGGCAGAGGATGAATTCATTCATTCAATTTGTTGTAAAGTGAATTGTGGGGTTTCTTTTATGTAAATTAGATAAACTATAGGGCTAATTTGTAATTTGAAAAACTGTAATTATAAATTGTATCTTACTGCTTGCTTTGTTTTGCTTTATTTGAAGAATTGATGATAATATAATTGGTGGTTAATTATATAATTTATTAAAAATCTATTAAATATTATATAATTAAATAATTTACTAAAGAATTGATGATAAAGTAATTGGTGGTTAATTATTTAATATACTAAAATTCTTAAAAAAAAATTAAATCGTACCTACATAATTGTGTTTTTTTTTTTAATAGACAAAAAAATAAAAAGACAATTGAACTGAAATTTAGTTTTTTTGAGTTGAAATTTAAAATTTTTTATCCAAAAAAAAAAATTAGTTTGGTCTATTTTTGGCTTGATATGTGCAATCTAATAGTCATTAATGTGCAATTCATATAACCTTAATGTGCAATTAAAATAACCGAAATAAATTACATTATTCATTCTAAAAAATGTTTAGTCTTTAATATTTTATATTTATTATTATATGTTAATATTTTATTATAGAAATAGTATATATGTAACCAAATATATAATGTGCAATCTATCAGTTATTACTGTGCAATTCGTCCAACACTACGGTGCACAGTGTCAGTCTATATTGTGCAGAAGAAACCGACCAAACTTTCGTTCTAAATCAAATCGAATAAATAAAGTACAAGCACACAAACACAAATGTGCATCTAGTATAACATTAATGTGCATTCTATTGTATGGCATTTTTTTGTACATTTAAATCTTAGGCAACTTTAATAATGTTTATTTTAATTTACATTATTTTACAATTATTATATAACTCATGCAATTAAAATATATTTAGTAATTTTTGTGTTTTTTAATATTTTGTAATATTATCTGTTGAAAATAAATAATAGTATTTTTAAACAAATTTACTTAGAACGTAATAATGTGCATTTTGTCTGACGCTATAGTGCAACCTGACATTCACTAATGTGCTAATGATTATTAATATCGTGCATTAAATTTGAGTTTTTTTTTTAATTTTTTTTATGTTCAAATTAAAACTATTATGAACTAAAATACTTTTATTATTCGGATGGTTGCTCGCATAAACCCAAATTTATGGAATACTTTAATAATTATTGTTATGAAACTATATTTTAGTATTTTAATATTTTTATATATTTTCTTTATTGTTTTCTTTTTGTTAAGAATGATATAATTTACATATGTATAAATGAAAATATCAAAAATAATATTGTTTTATATATTTTATAATCATAATGTGCAACTGCAATACATACAAAAATATAGATAAAAAATAGTATTATCTTTCATATAAAAAATATAAATAGTAGAAATGGTAATATATTTTCATATATTTCGGCATGTTATGTTATATTTAAAACTATTAAATTCGACAAATAACCAACTAATATTATTTGATCGATTAGCACAAT